AATATAGAATATTAATATTCTCAAATTCAAGATAAAAGTTCTAACAGAAACAGAAATCCCATTTACAATAGCAACAAAAAAGAGAAAATACCAAGGAATAAACATAACAAAAAATGTTAGCGGTCCATATGAAAAAAGAACTTTAAGTGCTATTGAGGGATGCAAGAGAAACCTTAAACAAGAAATGAATATATACCCTGTTCTTGAACGGAAGTTTGAACCTCAAGTAAATGTCAATACAATGCAGTGTCAGTAAGAATACCAACAGGATTGGGGAGGGTAGCTTGATAAATGAATTTTAAGTTTTATGGAAAAATAAAGAAGCAAGAGCCCTGGCTGGTGTGGCTCAGTGGATTGAGCGCAGGTCCATGTGCCAAAGGGCCGCTGGTTCGATTCCCAGTCAGGGCACCTGCCTGGGCTGCTGGCCGTGTTCCTGTTTGGGGGGGTGCGAGAGGCAGCCGGCTGATGTTTCTCTCTCTCATCGATGTTTCTCTCCCTCTCTTTCTCCCTCCCTTCCCCTCTCTCTGAAAGTAAATAAAATGAAATCTTTAAAGAAAAAGAAAAATAACAAGCAAGAATATCCAGAAAAACACTGGGAAGTAGAATGGGAGAAGACTATAATCAAACAATGAAGTCATTAGATATAAATAGGTAAACTAATCAATGAAACAATAAAAGTTCAGTAGAACCCAAAATTATATTTAAGAACTAAATATACCTATAGACAATATTTCAATACAGTGATAACTGGATAGTCACCTGGAAGAAAAGTAGAGTTGGATTCCTACACCTCAGTACTTTACACTAGTTATATTTTGTATGGATATGTACATTTAACTTAAAAATAAAATTAATAAAAGTACCTGGAAAAATATAAGAATTTTCATTTTCCTTTTAGTTAGAAGTAATGTTGAAATTGGGAAGACCTTTCTATGACATAAAAATCCAAAAAAGATTGATAACTACAATTGTAACATTTTTTCATTTCTGCTAAAAACATATACTATTAAACAAAGTCAACAGCCAAATGACAAACTGAAAAATATCAGCAGCATATATAAAAGGCAAAAAACCAATTTCCTAAAAACAGAGTCCCTATAAACAGTATTAAACATGCCAACAGAAAAATGAACAAAAAATATATAACCAGATAAATTAAAAAAAATAAGCAGCTGCTATAAATAAAGGAAAACTAATATGGTTCTTATACCTCCTAAAAAGATGAAAAAATATGCCTATTACACGGGCTGTTTTAAAAAGGTTGATAACCCACTCTGTTAGCAAGGGTGTGGCAAGTCAGCACTCCAACACCAAGGGTGGAACATAAACTGGTACAACCTCTGTGGAGGGCAATTTGACAATATCTATCAAAATTTAAGTAGTACGTATCCTCTGACCTGAAACTGTACTTCTAGGAATTTATCCTAAAGACAGACTCAATCAATGTGCAAAATTATACATGCATAAGGATATTCACTGTATCATCATTTGCATTAGCACAGCTGTAAACATTTTAAATGACCAGCCAAACAAAGAAATGTACCTCCCCCCTCATCCCTTACCCTATATCTTTCTGAAAAGGATACACAAAAAAATTTATCATTGGTTGCTTCTAGGGAAGGAAGTCAATTAGCTGAGGCCAAAGGGAGAAGGAAACTTGCCTTTTGTCATATGCTGTTTTGTACCATTTGGATTTTATATTTGAACATGTATAACATTTTTAGTTTCAGATTTCAGTATTATTTTTACCCAGCTTTACCAATTATCATAAATATTTGCCTCTTTTATTTGTCAGTTTTCCAGTTTCTACATTAGCAACAATGTTTTAACTGCTTTCCCAGCTAATAGGGTACATGGTATTTAATAAAATTCATTTAATGACAACCTTAACTTGGATTCCATTATTCCCATGATCTCCTTGCCCCTGAGCTCTACCTCTGCACACCTCCTCAGCAAAAAGCCCTGTTCTCTATTCTACACTGTGTGTGTGGAGATTATCAGTTACTAAAAATCCAGGACCAAGAAGCTATGAATTTCTCAGCCTAAGGGACAAACAGTCACTACTGTATTTTAGGAGGTAGCAAAAAGGCAAGGAGCTGTTCAAACAAGATTTCATAAAATATCACTTGTACTGTCACCATGGAGGGTCTAGTCCACTATTTTTATGTTTAAGAACTTGATTTTATCCATTTGTCCAGAGACTGTGGGGCCTAAAAGGGGAATGAATGACACTAATCTAATCAAATTCACAAGAAACTAAATGCTTACACATAATGCCAATGTATTAATTTAGAATTTAAAAATATACATGTATATGCATGTAAGTAGTTGTGTGTGTGTATATTTATATGTCTTTTTATGTATATAAAGAACATCAACTCATGCATATCAAGGATTCACAACAAATGGTAAGTATGCCCAGGACAGCTACATGTACTATGAGTGTATATAGGGAGAAAGAGAACAAATCAGAAGGTCAGAGAAGGCTTCTCTGAAAAATAAAGAGTGATCAAGCTGAGATCCAATGGAAGAAAACTTAAAAAACAAAACAAAAAAACAGAATAGAATAGAATTATGAGGAAGAGGGTTCCTGGTTGTGGGATAGCATGTGCAATGGCCCTGGGGCAGAAGGGAGTGTGATATGTCTAAGGAGGTGGAAAAAGATCAAAGGGCAAGACCATATGATGCAGAATTAACTAAAGAGTTAATTACAAACCATGTAGTGCCTTTTAGATCATATTAAGAATTTTTGCCTTGATCCTAAGCAATGAAAAGCTAGTAAAGCGTTATTAACTCAGATGGGAACAAATTTGTGCTTGCAAAAGATTAGCATGCTATATGAATTGCAGGCAAGAGTAGAAACAGGAAGATTTGCAGGAGAAGCTACTGCAGGAGACCCAAGTGACAGATGATGGCAGCATGGACTAGAGTTAGGGCAAAAATAAAATGAATAGGACATGGTGATTGGTTACACCTGAAATGCAAGAAAAAAGAAAATGTTAAGGTGGAAACCCAAGTTTTGAATTTGCATAACTGCATGGATAAGGGTGCTATCACTGAAAGAGAGAGAATGCTCCAAGAAAACCAGGTTGTTTTGTTTTGTGTCACTGAGGGCTGGACAGAAGGTAGAGTGTCAAAGAATTTCAAAGTATATATTGAGATATCAGATGTTCCCAATTCTGAGAATGAAGAAAAGACAGAACCTGCCTACTTGGGAAGGACGAGTGAGGAGAAGAAAGCTGAAAGAAGAGGTTGATGACCCTGTACCATTACTTCTCACAGCCTAAACACGTTTATCTTTACCTCTGGACAAATGGCTGTTTTTGGCCTCGTGTGCTAAGGCTGTGCAGAAATACTAGCTCTACACGGAGGCCCCATACCAAATCATGGCTTCCACTGCCATCCGGTGGTGGCAGAGAGGAAATGCATCAACCAGGTTCTTGGAGCCTAGAAATGCCTCTATGAAGCCCATGATATAATTAATTAAGATCCAAGACCTAAAGATTGCAGTGGTAAAGTGCAAGCTGGTGATAGCCTTTGGTAAGAAATGTATCTTCTAATCTGTCAGTACACAAAAATATAAGTTTTTGCTATTAATTTGGGGTAATAAAAAAGAGGTTTTTTTCTTTTTCATGTTGAAGATCACACACTATTTAGCAATTGTAAAATACCCAGTCTGGTACTACCCTCTCAAAACCAACTCCTGGTATATTATACATTTGAGTACTTAAAACTGCCTCAGTGTTAATTTCAATGGCGCATAAAAATGGGTTAGTGTGCATTTCTAGCACACATCAATAACCTTGTCACAGACATAAGCAATTGTTTCACTGAATGTGCAAAATTCCCTTTGTTATCTTCAAATTAATCAAATAACAATTTTTGACTACTTAGAAGTACAAGGCACAGTAATAAACACAATTTAAAAACCATCAAGTTCTCAAAATTAATCAGCTAAACAAATATATCACTGACAAAATCAACTTCAACATTATTGACAAAAAACATGGTGAATGATTAACACATCATCCTGATATTTCTCTTAATGGTAAAAATAAGCTTGCCCAATTAATATTTGACATTCTGTGCGGTATTTACTTCCCTACCTTCCTTACTACACTGAATACTCACAAATGTGTATCTTTACAATTGTCGGCACATAGGTTTCCATTTGATTTGTCTTTGTTTTTTAAGGCAACATCGAAAATCGAGGATAGGAACTGTGGGCCAAAACGTGAAACAATCACATGGGGTACATTTTTTCCAAATCTTAACCAGCTTTTCTTTTTCTTTTCTTTTTTTTCTTTCTTTCTTTCTTTTTTTTTTTTTTGGGAGTAGACACAGCGTAATTTTGTCAGTATATTCTTGATTTTCGTTTTGTCTCCTTAAAATCCAGTCACACTATCCACTCTGTCACTGGACATTCCAAAATATTAATAATTCTACTAGTTTTCTCTAATTCTCGTGGTTCTGTTTTCCCACCCACCTCCCAACAAACCCCCACCCTCAATCCTCCTTTCTTGTTTCAAAATGCCTATTACACACTCGATGTGGTTTTTACAAAATCGCCTTTTGGAATGCTCTTCCCTCTTCTCTCCTCAAATTAGCACCCTTTGAAAAATAATTTCCACAGCTAGGCGCCAACGTCTACCCCCCGCACCCTCCACAAGATCAAACTGCGGAAAAGGAAGAGACTAGGAATCGAGTAGGCGAAACATTTGGGAATGTCAGTGAGACAGGGGGCTTTCCTTTGAAAAGAAAATACAACCCTAAGCACAAAGCTTGCAACAGAGCAAAAATACTTTTTCCCGCTGTGCTCCTGTTCCCTCCCTGACCTAAAAGACACCTTTCCTTTTCTCTAAGCCCCCAGTCCCTTTGCGACATGTGGGGCCTGCCTTTCCTAGTCCGAAGGAAAAGAAAACCAGGATGAAAAGGTAGCAGTCACCTTCCCGCCGCGCCCGCTAGCTGTCAGCAGCACAGGACCACGTCCCGCGACTTACCTGGCAGGTGCGGCCGTCCAGAGAGTTGCACGAAGCGGTTGAGCTGGCCAGTCCCCCGACTCCCGCTACCCCCACTGCCCCCGCCGGCCCCGCTACCTCCGCCGCCACCACTACTGCCCGCGGCGCCTCCTCCCCTCCGGCGGTTCCTGTCCCAGCCTTGGGCGGCCGACATGACCCGCTAACAACTGCCGCAGCCTGGTCCCGGCAGCCCCTGGCCCGGCGGCACTAGCCGAGCCTCCTTCCTGGGCTCCTCTAGAGACCCGGGAGACAGGGGAAGGGGGAGCGCCGGGTCTTCACCACTGACCAATGACTGGATAACTTTGTGACAGGCAGCCAATAATCAGTCGCTTTCTTGGCAGGTGGAGGGAGGCGGGGAGAGACGTGGTAACCATAGCTATGGTTAAAAAAAAAAAGTGGGGGGTAGAGTAAGGCAGAAGCAGCCACTCCTCACTCGCATCCTCCGCGCTAAGCCAGCCGGCTTCGCGACGGCTCTTGCGGGAGCAGGCGGGCCAATCGAAGGCCGAGTGAGAGAGGCCACGCCTGCCGAAAGACCCAGGGCGACTGCAGGTACCAGGCACGGTCAGCGTTCGGGCATTCTTCTCCAAGAACACTGAAATCAGAAATAGGATGTGCTCCTAATACGCAGAGGTGGAGGCCATACAGTGTTCCCGAGGTGGGGGCTGAGATTCCTTTCCCTGACCGTTGACACACAAAGGGCTCTCGGAGGGAGAAGAACTGGGGCGGAGTCAAAGCTTAAGGAGATATTCTCCGGTTTCATTTCTCTTGTCTTTCAGTCTGACTGAACTGACTGACCTCCCTAATTGAATATAAGCCATGACCCAAGCAAACAATTTTAAACCTGGTTAACAAACATTGGAAAATGTTCAAGCTCACCAGTGATCATAGAAACACAAATTAAGACAGCCCTCCCCAGCCCCCGCCGTGAGAAACCATTTCTGGCTCATTTACGTTAGTAAGGATTTTTAAAATAACACCCAGCAGTGAACAGAGTGCCAAGAATAAAGGTGCTTTCATAGGTGACTGATGGCTATGTAAATATTTTTGTTCAATCAAAATATTTTGTGCTCGCGGAAAATTTTAATCAGCTTAAAGACAGGAACAGTTACAGAAGATCGAAGAAAAATGTAGATGTATACATCAAAAATTTCTATTGTTCCAAAATTAAACAGAAAATTTGGCTTTGAATTTACGGGGCGCGGCGCAAAGTTGGAAAATACAGATTGTTCACTTAAGTCTATCAATGATAAGGGAAAAGCATCTAAATTCCGCAAGGAAAACAAAAGTTTTCAAGGTTTTAAATCTGGTGCTTTTTGTGTGTGTTTGATGCTTCGGTATGAGAACCTCATGTGCTGTGGAGAAAAAAATAGAAAATCTGCTGGAGTTGAGGATGCATACTTCTTGATGCAAATTTCATGTCTTCACTAGCCCCAACTCCTTATTTTTCTACTTCAGTCCCTGTGGGCAGGTATTTAACCCATTAAGCACTATAACACACTGCTTACAAAAATATTTGAGACCTGAAGAAAAAATGCTTATGGCTCTAAAATATAAAATGTAAATTAATACGTGTTAATTTTCTAAAGAAACTGTACCAGTGAATAACCAAAGAACAGATAAAATAAATTTTCTTTTTATAAATGCATTCCAAGTAATAAATAGTGCGTGATAGAATATCACGATTTTGCAATTTTGCAAATCCTAATGAATTTAGAAATCAACCCATTGAGCATCCACCACTGCTAGCATCACAAAATGAAAGGTGAGACATGCGTGTCTCTAGAACATAAAGATGACAATGAAGTAGTCCTGTAGAAAAAAAAATGAACCTGAATTTCATCATACATCTGTATCTAACTACCAAGTTATAGTAAATACAGAGGACAGAGGGAAAAGAATTTGACAGAGCAACATTTTTTAATATATTTTATTGATTACACTATTACAGTTATCCCATTTTTTTCTCCCCTTTATTACCCCCTGCCCTGCATACCCCTCCCTCCAGCATTCCCCACCCTTAGTTCATGTCCGTGGGTTGTACATATAAGTTCTTTAGCTTCTCCATTTCCTATACTATTCTTAACCTCCCCTTGTCTATTTGGTACCTACCATTTATGCATCTTTTCCCCCATTTTCCCCCCTCCTCTTCCCTGCTGATAACCCTCCATGTGATTTCTCCTTCTGTGATTCTGTTCCTGTTCTAGTTGTTTGCTTAGTTTGTTTTTGTTTTTTTAGGTTCAATTGTTGATAGTTGTGAGCTTGTTATCATTTTATTGTTCATAGTTTTGACCTTCTTTTTCTTAGATAAGTCCCTTTAACATTTCATATAATAAGGGCTTGGTGATGATGAACTCTTTTAACTTGACCTTATCCGGGAAGCACTTTATCTGCCTTTCCATCCTTAATGATAGCTTGGCTGGATAGAGTAACCTTGGATATAGGTCCTTGCCTTTCATGACTTTGAATACTTCTTTCCAGCCTCTTCTTGCCTGCAAGGTTTCTTTTGAGAAATCAGCTGACAGTTTTATGGGAACTCCATTGTAGGTAACTGTCTCCTTTCCTCTTGCTGCTTTTAAGATTCTCTCCTTATCTTTAATCTTAGATGGTATAATTATGATGTGCTCTGGTGTGTGCTTCCTTAGGTCCAAATTTTTGGGGCTCTCTGAACTTCCTGGACTTCCTGGAAGTCTATTTCCTTTGCAGTTTGGGGAAGTTCTTCATTATTTTTTCAAATAAGTTTTCAGTTTCTTGCTCTTCCTCTTCTCCTTCTGGCATCCCTACGGTTCGGATGTTGGAACATTTAAAGTTGTCCTGGAGGCTCCTAAACCTCTCCTCATTTTTTTGAATTCTTGTTTCTTCATTCTGTTCTGGTTGAATGGTTATTTCTTCCTTCTACTCCAAATCGTTGATTTGAGTCCCAGTTTCCTTCCCTTCATTGTTGGTTCTCTGTATATTTTTCTTTTTTTTGCTTTGCATAGCCTTCACTTTTTCCTCTACATTGCAACTATCCTCACCCATTTCTGTGAGCATCCTGATTACGAGTGTTTTGAACTGTGCATCTGATAGGTTGGCTATCTCTTCATCGCGTTAATTCTATTTTTGGAGCTTTGGTCTGTTCTTTCATTTGGGCCATATTTCTTTGTCTCGGTGCACCTGTTACGTTGTAAGGGGCGGAGCTTTAGGTATTCACCAGGGCAGGGCAACCCAGGTGGCTGAGTTGTGATGCTGTCTGTGGGGGAGGGGTCCAAGAGTGAACAATGCCTCTGGCTCAACTCTTCACTAGCTTTCAGTCACTTCCCCCACTACCCACAAGCAAATTAGGCCCTTCTGGAGCTGGTTCCCAGGTGGATGGGTTTGTGTATGTTCTAGGACGCTATGGGCCTCTCCAACAAACTCTCCTGTAAGGCTGGAAGTTTCTCCTGCTGCCTCATCCCTCACAGGTTTTTACAGCCAGGGATTTTGAGGCTTTGTTTCTTGAGCGGGAACCCTGGGTTGCGCAGTCTGTCTTGTGCCCCCGTTGTTCCTCCAGGTTTATCCTCACGCATATATGGGACCACCCAGTCTGCCAGCCGCCCTCTCCACCCCAGCTGCCCATCTCCAACCCTCCTGCCAGTCTGAATGAATGTTTCTTCTTTAATTCCTTGGTTGTTGGACTTCCATACAGTTTGGTTTTCTGGCAGTTCTGGTTATTTTTTGTTTTTAAATTTGTTGTCCTTGTTTTGGTTGTGCGAGGAGGTAAAGTGTGTCTACCTAAGCCTTCATCTACAATAGAACATTTTTTAAAATGCTACTACAGAGATGCAAACAGCAAAATCCAGACTATGGAAACTCTACAGGATAACCAATTTTCATCAACAAATAAATTGCAAAGGAAAGAGATTCAGAAGGAAAAATCCATAAGTTAAACAGAGACTTGTGAAGGTTGCATATCTGTGAATATACTAAAAAACCATTGAACGGTAATGGTTGAACAACTTTGTTAGTGTATTAAAACCACTGAAGTGTGCACTTGAAAGGATGCATTTTATGGTATGTAAATTATATCTCATTTTTAAAAATTTAATGATATGGGAAGGGAGAAGTGGATGGGGAACTAGATGAAAGAACCTTACCCATAAGCTGAAGTTGGGTGATGACTTCATGAGAACTGTCATTCTATTATTCTGCCTACCTTCGTATATGTTAGAAATCCTTCATAATAAGAAGGAAAAAGAGTCTAGAAAAATAAGATTACATTAACCAATCTATTGAAAATCATCTCATACAGTTTTTATATGTAGTCAACTTTAAATTCCAGAAGCAAAATGAAAGATTTATTCTTAATTAAATTTAAGTATTACATTATTTTAAGTTTTTTTAAAAACATTAGAGCCAAATTTTTTTAACATAGAATGTGCATACACTTTGATGTGATTTGGAGAGGGACCTTCGAAATCAGCGCACCCCTGGCCAGGTAGCTCAATTGGTTAGATTGCGTTCCAATATACCAAAGTTGCAGGTTAGAACTCCGGTCAGGGCACATACAAAAAGCAAGAAGCAACCAATGAATGCATAAAGTAGTGGAACAACAAATCGATGTGTGTCTGTCTGTCTGTCTGCCTGTCTCAAATCAATACATAAAAATTTTTAAAAATTTAGTGCATGCAGACAATATGTACCTGCTAACATGATGTAGGAAGTACGCAATATTGTCTATGACATAATAATGCCAACAACATTAACTTAAACATAATCAAGATTTAAGCTATAATGTCCAGTTACAGGAACTTTCAAGGGAAAAAAGAACAAATCAAATAACGTGTGCAACAATCAAATCCAGGGGGACAATCTCCACAACATCTAGCCTGGTCTCGTCAATATAAGTCAATGAAAAACAACATGAAATAACACAAAAACAAAATGGAAGGGCGGTAACCCCTAATGAAATAATAGATGTAGGCAGTGGCTCCTAGCATAACACAAGGAAACAACCAGACGTCATGCGTCTGCTGACAGATGTACACATAGTCGTCCATGAAGGAGTCTGAGCAAAAGAAATGAATCTGAATAAAGGCAATCCATTAGCTTTAACTGCAAGTTTACAGGAAATGAAAGGAACAGCAAATATGTTCAATGATATCTTGAGGATGTAATCTCCACAATATATAATGTGGAAAACTATAAAACAAACAGCCTATTTTCTTTAGCATTTTATACGTATCAAGGAAAAGAAAGAGGAAAGGGAACCTACAGATGACTAGAGTTTTCA